CTCAACCGGCGTTTGCCCAGCGGGGGGGAGGAGAAGGAGGGTGTGGGTGGGCTCCTCTCTCATCGTTCTCGCGATCGCGATCGTCCGCGCGCGCCCCGTCCGTGCGTTATATGCGCACTCGCAGCCGCTCGCTCACTTCCCCATCACGGAATCACCTCTAATTGGACTTCCAGGTAAGTCACCTGCGTCCATAGGAGTGCCCCGGGAACGATCCATCGGCTCCCGCCTACGCTTTTGTCATGATTCCTATCTCTCCGTTCGCTCGATCTACCCCGAACGCGGAGGTAAGCTCTGGTGAAAAAGGCACGAAAGTCTATAAAAGCGTCACAGCTCTAGTGTTATCAATATTAAATATAATGAAGCTTATATTTATAGTCATTTTAGTGTATTAATAATAACTTAATCGTTGATATATTTTTTGCAAGCAAAAATCTGTCTGACAGCATCTGTGAATGTTTCGTGTGTATGTTAAAGATTTAATATATAGGATTAAAAATATATATTTAAATTTATTAATCAGAATATAGCTTTAAATTATTTAATTAGTAATCGTGGATATTGTATTTGTAAAGTTTCTTGTAAAATTAAATAAGTTATTGATATAATCGCTAATACATTTCAGTATATTAATGTATGTTTATTAATGACATATTATTAACGCATGAGTATTAATATTAATAATGTGTGTTAATTAAAAGTTAACGCCTTTTCGCGACAAGAAAGTCGTTTCGAGAATGCATTTTCAAAAGCGGAAATCGTTCGGACCTAAACGGGGAATCCTGACAAGGACGATCGCGATAGTCCTATAACGGAAGCTTCCTTGCGTGGGAAAGTCACCAGCGCAACCGGAAATCGGTGGGGTTGCTCGTGGCAAAGTATTGAGAGGGTATCACGATCGAGTATCGGGATTCCGTGGCGACAAAAGGGGGCAAATGCCGGTATCACTAAAAATAAAGAAGCCCCGTCCCGACGAGGCAACGAGGCGTCAGCTGATCGCGAAGTCTCCACGAGTAGCTCCTGCCCTCCTATAACTTATAATTTGCTTTCTTTAATTAATAAATTTTTAATAATTTCCTAATGTCCCTTCAAAATTATACAAGCAATTAATTAACGCGAATAGCTTTTATTAATTATCGCAAAACGGAAAGATTATCTCTTTAATTGAGTGAGTGCGGTAATTCCATATTATAAAACTATTACAGCTTCCATATGTTCGCATAATAATAAATCTAACGCGGAAATTAGCGTGTCGCGCCTCTTCCATTTACACGAAAACGTATTTTCCTCTAATTTTCTAATGTTCTTTCAAAATCATAAAAGCTATAGTTAACATGAATATAGCGACTTTTTATTAATTATCGCAGAACGGAAGGATTATCTCCTTGAGCGAGCGTGCGGTAATTCCATATTATAAAACAATTCCAGCTTCCATATGTCCGCGTATAATAAATCTAACTCGGAAATTAGCGTGTCGCGCCTCTTCCATTTACGCGAAAACGTACTTTCCTCTTACATATATATAACATATGTGTTTTCCTCTTATATATATAAAAACACACACACACACATTTATGAACGAACGTGCCACGACTTCACGGATACACGCCTCCTCCACGCATCGGAAGATCGATGTGTGTAACCCCGTTTCAGGTTGAGTAACTATACGGCCACGCCGACCTGTCGGCCTTTTATTACATTCGCGCGCGTCCCAGAAATCGGTGAAGGAACGCCAATCTCGCCCTTTCTCCCTTGGCGATCGCCGCGGGAACGCCGTGCACGTCGTCTCGCGGCCGATGCGAGAAAGCCGACAATTATAGCCCCCGAGACGGGCCGCGCGATCGGTCGATTCGTTAATAAGCCGCGGCTCGGCGCGGCGGCGATACACCGGAATAATTCCACCTCGTTAACGGGGCGCGCAGTCGTTAATTAAACAATAACGGCCTTTCAGATTCCCGATCACGTATACGACCGCGGCCGCGGCCGAGGGATCAATCATTTGCGCGCGCGAGAGATCGCATGAACGCAATCGCGAGGCTGTACGAGAGGAGTATACCCGATTCTCGGGACCTCGTGATATTACGCGTTTCGAGGAAAAACGTGAGTGAGAGGCGAAATTTCTCCCTCCCGTTCTTAATTCTGTATCGTACACACGATATATGGACGAGTAAGAAAAATAAGCTCTTTAATTTAGGACGGCGTCTCTCTAACTCGAAGTGGAGTCATCGCAATCACGCGTCCGCGGCCGACTCATGAATATTTATCTATCGCCCACAGACGGAGATTTTGTCGCGATCAATTTCCCCCTGGCGTGGATTAATTGGGGACTAATTCGGGACCGGAGAGGCGTGCGGAGACGGTCGAGATAGATGAAATTCAGCATATCGTGTGCGAGATCGGTGACCGCGTAGTTGTAAAATAATGAGATTAGAACGAACATTTCGCGTTCTATCTTACGTGCGGTTTGTGTGCACATTCACTGATCGTTAAACACACAACCGACAATTACCCGCGTACAAAACAATCGATCAATCCGCTCGTTAACAAGCCTATCGCGCGCAGGAGAGAGAGAGAGAGAGACAAAAGAAAGAGAGAGGAGGGAGGGAGAGCAGGAGAGAACCGCCGGATTAATTCTTCGTAACTTTTACCAAAAGGTTATCGGACATTAACTACTCCTTCAAACATGAATATTCATCCATAAAGGTCATCTCGCATAAATTCAAAAGGATATAACGATCAGAAATGATTTAAAAACGTTTACGAGGATTGCCTATGTAGCAATCGCTATCCTAGCAGTGGCATCCTTAATAAGACCGTTTCTCTGTCATCAAGTAATAATAGCTCGATAAATTCCAACGATCTAAAAAGTAGATTAGAATCGATTATTAACTATTGAAATGAAATTATTTCTTATCACTGTCTTAAGATCAAAGTTTTAGTTCAATAATCTCCGGGACATTAACTAAAATAAATTCTCAATTTAAAATAGAAATCGATAATTAAGTTAAAAAAAAATTATTATTTTTATCGCTTTCTTATGAAAAATATATCGGGGATCTTCGCTGAGTAGGGTCACAAGTTGCTGTTTCTTTAGGTCATACGTGAGTGAATTCAGCTTCAATTATCTCCGAAATATTATCTAAACGACTCGCTCTTCTGCCTTCAACATTGTTGCGACGCTCACGGGAGGGAGAAACCAGGACAACAATGTTTTACACTCGTAAGGGCATCGCGCGGGTACAATCTGAAAACTTGCGGACGCACCGCGAAGGCCGAGATACCGCGAAAATATAACTGCAAGACGAGATGTTACTGTCGCGTAGCCGCGATAAAGAGGCTGCCGCGCTCCATTATTATGACGGGACGCGGGACACGCGCGCTTTCAGTTTATTGGGGTCGTGGCGCAAACAGTAGATTGTCCGGTTTATTGAAAACTTCCTAGGTGCGCTGCTCCACACGTCCAGCGTTATACGACCGCGTGTGCCGAAACTTCGGCTTCGTATTCGTAATAATGCAGTGATAAGCGTGACAGCGCGCGGGAAAGCCCGAAGGTTGGTGTCGCTAGCTATATCACCTACATGACTTTGCTACGTGTGTTAATTAATTGATGCCCGGAATTATATACTTCCAGATGCAATAAGAAAACAAGAAAACAATTTCAAACGAAGCCCGATATATATGTATACAAATAACGAAGGGAAAAAAGCCAGATTCGGTCGAGGCTATAGATGTTGATTGCCCAACAATATTCTTAATTTTTTAATCTTTAAATCTAGGCCGAATTTGGCTCTTTTTCCCTCATCATTTGTTGCATTAAGAAAAATTTACGTATAAATCACAATAACAAAATTTATAAAATACATCCTGATTTCTCTGTAGGATTTCCTCCTCACCATAATATATATGTGTCTGTAACATTTAAATTTATAACTGCAATAAATAGTTTGCCTGTGATTATTAACATAGTCATAATTACTTTTTAGAATTTTTAGAATTATTTTAAGAAACTACCTAAAGATATTTTTAAATTACAAATGTAAAATAAATTTTGTTTTTTCTCAGACGGAATTAATCGTCCTTGAGATAAACTCGCACTGTTACGGAGGATTATGATTCTCGGAGTGCGTGACCTTACGCGCGATTTGCCTTGCGAGCGCGAATACATTGAAAAATGAGCGAACCAGTTCCTGGAGAACGAATTCTTCGTTCGTCGTATCGGCCGGCCCGCGTGAGTCAAGCTCCCCTTCGCGCGCACCGTTTAACGGATTACTCATCTAATCGGGACAACCGCGATCTTTATCATCATGCGCCAGGCAGCGCGTAAGCCTAATCAATTTTATGCGCTTGAAAAGCCGCGCACGAATTTTCGGAACATGCGTAAGCACCGGCCTCTCCGTGAACGCCGCGCACGCGGGAATCGCAGAAGATTACGTTGCTCGGTTATTACGGCCAGTGTAATAGTTTGCGATGAAGATGTCAGAATCGCTTTCAAAGTACCATGAGTTATTCTTTTGAGGAATGTGACAAGTTCCAGAGGCGCAATCATTGAATTTAACTTCATTTATAGCCGCTTATGTATGCAATATTAAATTTGCTTACATTTTAGATACTCCTTTCTTACGCAATATTATATAATATATATTACATAATATATATCACATCGTAAGAATGTATATCAAATATATTATAAAATAATATATAAATCTAATTATATATACATATATATATATATTTTAATAATATACATATATAATATCTATATCAGAGTGTAGAATAATGTATATTATAGAATTATATGCACATATAATATATTTTAATAAAATGTATCGATATTGATACAAATATTGATCTCATTAAATTATATCTCATTATTTGAGTTTTAAATCTCATTAAAATTATAAAATTCTTATATACATACGTATATGTGTTTTGTAAAAGTAGTTTCGTAAAATGGTCTTGTAAAATAAGTAAAATAAAGTAAAATAAAATCATAACAATGCATATAACAATCGTCATTAAATATAAACTTGCGTAATTAAAAAAAAAACGACAATCACCACTCGATCACACCGGGAATATATTCGTCGATCAATTTTTCGTAGTAAGGCCACAGTTTCTCAATGTCCGGAACGGTGGCGCTCTTGGTGTAAAGATCAAATTTGCTGTAATATTTTTCGCGTCGAATTAATCGTCGACGATCTATCTTTTCAATTTTAATAATTTAATGCAATTTATAGTCGAACTATAGTCGTACTATTAGAATTACCTATTTATAATTATATATATAGGTAATTTTTATAATTCAATATAAGAAATCATAATCCACAATTTAATAGAGTAGTAATTTGACTTAACTAACTGATAATTTATCTTTCTTAATATTTTATTGCATTTAAATTATTTTATATCCAACTTACTTGAATTCCGTCACCCATTTCAGCATCTCGAGATCTTCCGGAGTGCAGAAGTGCATGTAGTCGCCGCCGGAGTGCCAGGGGTAGAAGGAGTGAAAACGGATTATAGCCAAAGCTTCCTTCGGCAATTTGCTCTTGTTGTGCACGAGTATGCGGTACAAGTACTCGTCATGGCCCCATGACATCATCAGATTGGATATTCCACACTTAGGCTTGTACATGCCGTATTTTGTGCTGCAAACAAAAATATAATCCCCGATGTAACGCAATATATGCACGTGTGCAATTGTTTTAACATATACGGATTGTTCGTGCGTTTCGTCGCTTTATGGAAGAGTTTTCGATAAATTCTGCGATCAACTTGACATTAGAATTTTTCTTGGAGCACTCTACATGTTACAAATGTATTCTCCTTACTCGTAAACAGGTACGCGACGAGAGTCACATATTTTGAACAAATAATATTCTTATTACATCAAATCCTTTTATATCATACAAATAATCGTTTTTTTAATAATGAAAAATTCCGTTGGAAAGCAAACTTGGAACATACTTTTTTATATCATACAAATAATATCGTTTTTTTAATAATGAAAATTTCCGTTGGAAAGCAAACTTGGAACGTACTTGTAACGGGAGTTCTTGCCGTCGGGATTATTGTCAAAGCTCGTCGCTCTGTAGACGATAGAATCGCCCCAGGTACAACCCACAGGGAATGTGTCACCTACCACGGCCCACTGGGGTTCTCCGTAAAATGCCATCACCTATAATGTACAATCATTTGTTAATCGATCTTATTATAATGCACATCTGTACATCTGTTTCTTATCTGTATCGAAAAGGGGAAGCTGAACAAAATACAAGAATATCGTTGGTTTGGCTAGGAAAGTATTGTGATTGACTGTGATTCGTAATTGTCGAATGCTTTTATAAGTTCAAACTGTATGACAGCAAACTTGCTCAAGTAGGAACGTAATTGTGAACAAACAATTGAATGAAGAAAAGAAAACGGAGTAATCATGGATCTTAGAAAAATGTTCAAAAGCTCAGTTTTTCTTTTCTGTTTTGAATTCTTCTGAGATCTGTAATTGCTCCGTTTTTTCTCTTTAAAAAAATGGATTGCATTAGAAAAATGTTCAAAAGCTCAGTTTTTATTTTCTTTTTTTAATTCTTCTGAGATCTGTAATTGCTCCGTTTTTTCTCTTAAAAAAAATGGATTGCATTTAAAAGATATTACAGGAAAAATATTATATTTGGTAGTTCGACAAATTATTTAAAACAAATAAAATATCTCACTACTGTCTATATACATTATTTTCGAAGGACAAAATTTTTAGGATTTTTGTCCTATCTTTTTTTAAGTATATCCTTTTAAAGTATAAATTGTGATAAGTTATTCATTGTAAAATATTTTCACAGAGCTCTTCATATTTCACTTCACCTTGCCAAGATCGTGAATCAAACCGGTGAGATGAAACCATCCGAGGTCCGGATGCTTCTCTCTGATGGACTCTGCGGTTTGGAACGCGTGAACGATATTAGGCAGGTTCGTGTCCGGATCACTCTCGTCCACGAGATCGTTCAGTTTGAGCAGGGCGTCTTTTACAGTCATTTTGAATTTATTAAACTGAAGCCACTCTCTCATGCGAGCTGCAAAAAATGATTCTGTCACTTCTGCCTTTATCATCGTTTTTTTACGTTTGAAAATAATAAATAAGACACAAATTCGATCGTTCAAATGATCTAGAGATGAACTTTCGATCATTTATTAATATAATCTGTCCTCTTATTCTAACTAATTCTATGACTTTATCGCCAAATAAAGATCATGAAAATAAATAAAACATGAGTGTAAATAATTAAGGTATGTAGTTTGTCGGTTTGACTAACATTTCACAAAGTCGACAGTTTGATTGGTATGCATCTCGTGGTAGGTTTTGCGGACACGTTCCTTGATGGGGTCCTCGGAATCCACGTCGAAATTGCGGAACGCACTTTGCAGCTTCCCGGCGAATACCGGCTCAGGCCGAAATTGCTCCGATGGGTCCAGCAGCATGGTATAACCACGGCTCTGTTCCTGTTACAAAATCAATTTAACAATCTACAAAGTAGTTATTTTCTATTAATAAATTATTTTTACATGAGGAATTACTGCAGCTTTCACATATTTCGTATAACTCTTTGAAAATGCAACACGAAGAAATTCTCGCGACACACGATTGTGTAAATTATTCTATACATATGGCATATTCTACAATTATACTATATTGTAAATTTATAAAACTGTAATTATATATAAAATTTATGTATCCTTCGCAGTATATTCTTTGCCTAACAATAATTATTCAATATTTTTCATTTGTGGCTTGCGTGTAATAAAAATTTAAAAATTGTAAAATTACAAGAATTATACAAATCACGCAACGTTAGATGTTTTTTACTATATAAAATACGCGAAGTGTGAGGCAAGAAAAATTAGATCCTTTTTAAAATTAAATAAAATACATTGTTTTCCTTAAATTGTTAATCGCCTTACTCTGCAAAAATTAATAACAATAACAAAGACAAATAAGATTATAGACCGATTGTTACGCGGGTTTCAGAAAAGAAAAATAGTTTTTTTAGCGAAGTTTGACCTTTATTAAGGGGTTAGCCCACCACTGACGTTTTAAAATAATACCTTAAGTTTGGGATATTTTGTGAGTAAATGGATAACTTTATTTAAAATCTGCTTAGAGGATATTATTGTACATACATAAGAAACCAAAAAAATAATTTTTTAGTTTCTTATACATGTACAACAACGTTCTCTAAAGCTTTTAAATAAAGTTATCTATTTAAACACAAAAAAATCCCAAACTTAGGTTATCATTTTAAGGCCTCAGGGGTGGGCTAACCCCTTAATGCCTGTCCCGAGACGTCTGACTCTCCGGCCGATTTCTCAAAATCGGTGAAGTCGACGGCCATCGCGAAATCCGATGTGGTCCAACAGCGTTTCGGTACATCACCGGTCTTTGTCTCCCGACGCCGATGAAAGCGCAAATAATACATGTAAGCATCACATATAAATCATCCCAATGTGAGCACGATGGATCAGCCACGTGAGATTCGTCGTGGAACTAGTCTACAACTATTTATAATTTTATTCTAACGGTCTACACGACATCAACAACGCCGAACTTGACGCGTAAAAATTTTTCGTCGATATATATTAAATTACATATTTTTAATATAATCCATTTGTATTTCGATCTCCCTCCAGCTTTTTCAGCGAAAAATTTTCACAGTATCTCATTTCAATAACCTCAGAGTATCCCATAATCTCAATAATTCATTTCGTTAATAGTTGACATAATATGTTTCGCAATGAGCAAAAAAGACTTCCAATTTCATTATTGCAAGCAAATGTATTCTAATATTAATGAGAAGATTGCAAAATATTTATATCTATAAAAAGATTTATATTTATAATTTATATCTATAATAATTTAGGCTGATATTCATAGCCGGTTATTATATTTAAGATCATCTTAAGTACAATCTTAAAATGTCATAAACCAATCACAAAGAGCCGTGTATTAGCTTCTTAATCTTAAGACATTACTTAAGACAATCTTGAAATAAGAACTATGAATACTTAGTATACATACAACCTCGAAGCTTATGTACTCATTATTACGCGTCAAGTCAAGATGCACATAATTAACAACAGTGATGAGAACACTGGACTAAGATCATATAGAAATCGTTACTATAAATTACAAACTGATACCTCAAATAAAACACAGAGTCATTCATATATATTTAGTCGTAATATGTCATCAATTCTGAGTTGATTTTCAGGTAAGAAGAATTCTTTTTCATAATTTTTAGAAAAATTCTTATTGTATCTAAAGATGAAGATCAGAATTGATGACATATAACTGAGTTCTTTTTGAACTCTCTGCGTTATCTGGGACGTTTCTATTGTCACATTTAGAATGTCATTCGTCTAATTTACATGTATACATGTCAGTTCAGATAAAATAAAAATACATATAATAATAATATATGAATATAATACCACACCAAATAACGGTAACAATGCAATGAAGGCGAAAACAATACGTGCAGGTCTATTAAACTATTTAAATTTCGAAGTATATATGCATGGTGCAAAAACTCTCTGCAGTATCAGATTATAAATTAAGATTAGATTTTCCTTCTGCAGTTTAATATATAGCGTTTCCAAGATCGTGCTCATAATAAACTTGAGCGGATAATCATTGGTTAAGAATGTTCTGATTACATAACAAAATCCAAGTTTTTATTATGGTCTTGGGTACATTATTAACTCTTATTTGTCTTATTTGTCTTTGTTATTGTTTTGAAAAATGAAAGTCAGACTTATTACATATTATTTTTAAAAATTAATAAGCTACAGCTAAAAAAGTTTTTTTCAAGATGTATCGTGGAGAAAAATTCTACGTAGATTTGACGCGCTTATCTATAGACTAATTAGACTAATATACATATACGCAGAAAACAGATGACGTATTTATCGAAATTTGTTAAACATGGTATAAAAGAGGATTTGTAATGCGAACGAATTTGTGACGTGATTAACACTGATATGTATTGTGCAATAATGCACTATCGGTCTCTCTTTTAAACATAAATAAAAATATCTTGGCTCTGGACGCGAACGTGCAGTACGAAATATTCATAAAACGAATTCCATCCGAAAAAAAATTTCACACAACGTTATAATTGCAAATTTAAAAAAAAGCTTATACGTTCAACGATAATTAATTTACATAAAGAATTGATTCAAAGCGACAGGATGAAATTGTTAAATGTTAGAAACGAGACAATGATTTGTATAACTAAAGCAAGTGTCACATGTTGAATTTACAAATCGAGGAATCACTTATACTTATAAAATAATGAAGTTCCTCGAACGATATTCTCTTCCTCGTAATGTTACATTATTAAATCTTGAATTTCGAAATTTCATCAGAAGCGAAAATTCGTGATGTACTTACAGCTGTCGTGACGGACATTCTGTAGCTGGTTACTGATGGAAATGTAACTGTCGTCTGTCCTACCCTGTGTAGAACTGTGAGCTAACTTATAAAGTCGAAGACAATTCACCCTTGATCCCCGTATCGCCTGACGGTCCGGCGACGGTGGTGGTGGTGTTGATCACAAACAGATGCCAAATCACGTTGCCGCTTTATATCGCACCCTCCCCTCTCCTGATTCCACAATTCCAAACTATGGTGAACACGCGGGTATCGTAAACGGAATGATCTATTGCAAATTTTTATCAAGATACCAAATCACCGTAATTCACAACATACAAATTATTGCGCCGCACAAAAACAACACGGTCCGGCGCGACCTGCGTTTAATGTACGATAAAATTATTCGAGTATCTAAGAACGCTTTCAGATTCTGGCAAAATTTCCAGTGCGGCACCGGATCGGCTTAAAGCCGAAGCTAATTTCTTATAGATAAGCAAATGCCGTTAAAAACAGAATATACGGTAATTATCGCGATAATGTAGAAATTGGACCGAAATCGATATATAGAAAGATATCACTTATCGTCAGTCATGAATAAAGCTCTTTATGTGACGAAAGAAATTACGACGCGACTCTATGAGCGCTTTAAAAAAAATTTACGACCGCAATTTCTTATTTTAGCCATTTGTTTCAATGACTGTCTTGTTCATATTCGCGTCCGTCCGGCAGATCATGAAAAAACTGGCGAATTCTACGATAATGAAATTATTTAATAATAATTAATATTTTAAAATTGAAAAGAGCGAAGGCGAAATAAATATTCGACGAATTTGAAGAAAGCGTCTTAGAGCGCCTGATAATTTTTAACGGCTTTTAAAGGATACTAAGGTCGACTAGCTCTATTCTCTTCTTTCCTTCAAAGGTCGCCGAACAAAATAAAACAATGAAACAAATAGATGCCGATAATAGCATAGTCTAAAAATAAATTTCTAAATCGTATGCCCCATAGATCAGCGATTTGTAACACTGATAATAGATGACGCACATTATAAATAGTTCGTTTAACCGGATCGTCTTGCCATGTGATGATCGGTTGACAGTCGGTGCAACCGACGTGCGAATGATGTCAAATATATAATACAATTGTTACCATTCCGCGGCAAATGGATTCAATTGCCGCGCGTTTATGGGTTGCGCGTGGTGCGCGTACGGATTCTTTAAGGATTCCGTAAGCTCGCGCGAGCGCGAAAACGCAAGTACGCGACAGGACGATAAAGAAATGATAGCGTTAGCGTTTCGCGAATGAGAAACGTAATATTTACACAGCGTGCGCAACGCGTGGAAATATCCAATTTGATAACCTTTGATATTGCATAATATCAGCAGCTTCGCACGACAATCAGAAAACTTTTTCACCGCGTGTGTACGTACTCGGAATTTCTGCAATTCATCGTGAGCTTAATATTTTTTTCACACATGTTACGCTTGGAATACTTTGAACATTTGGAAATAAATAATTTGCCTTTCAGACATCATTTTCGTAACCCGTAATACATTAATTCTCCCATACACTGTTGAGAATTGACTTCGGAACACAAAGAAGAGAAGAAAGGAATTTTTGTACACATATTATATGTACGTAAAAATTGAACCTGTATATAATTAAATTTCTTATCGGACATTTCATCTCTCCAAGCCTTTGCCTTTTTATATAAATATTATATGACTTCGAAACACAAAGAAGAGAAGAAAGGAATTTTTGTACATATATTATATGTACGTAAAAATTGAATCTGTATATAATTAAATTTCTTATCGAACATTTCATCTCTCCAAGTTTTGCCTTTTAAATATATACGTAGTTGAAAGAAATTCGGGGATAGGAGATTGATAAATAGTTGAGCTGAGTCACAGGTAAAGAAGCGAAAAATGATATCATCGGACAAATGAGTAATGGAAAACGGAGAGAAACATACGTATGAGGCGCAAGAGGTATACACATACACACACAAACACCTAGGAATATTAAAGAGTAAATTCTTCGTATTTCTTGATGACAAAAGTGGTATCAAATTTGCCGCTGTTATTGTATAATATACGTTTTTTTTTTTTATAATAGTATATGATGCATGTACGTATATACATTACTGACGTAAACCTAATTGAAACAAGCGAAGTCATTAGCGACGTCATTAAGGCGAGCTGGAGTCCGAGTAGCTCGTGTTGCTTTCCCGCCGCCGCGAATTGTGCCGGTGCCTGTGCGAGGGACTGCGCGAGCGGGATCTGTGCCGCGAGGATGATTTCTTACTCTTCTTGGTTCTGTGCGAGCGGGAGGAGCTTGAGCTGTCGTAGCTGCTGAAACATATACATGCGTGCGTTAAAGTAATTAAAATTAAATAATAGTGATGCAGTTTATTAAAAAAAAAGACGTTATTTCAAAAGCAAGACTACAAGTGAGACTACAAGCTTGGCAATAAATAATTTCAATAAAATGAACATTAGGAATAAAATTGAGCTACGAGCAAATAATCTTATGTAATTGCAATGGGCATGTCTTTTTGAATAAACGCAATAAAATTTTGAGCTCTATGTTTTCATGCTGCACAGCTAATGTTACAATTAAGTAACTTTAATTTACCTTCGATGAGAACTCTTCTTTTTCTTGTGCTTTTTGTGCAATTTGTGCCTGTCCGTGCTCCGACTCCTGGAGCGTTGTCGCGGCCGCTTGCCGCTCAGGTCCGCGCCCTTCAGTCGATCCATCAGGGAATTACCGCACGTCTTCGTGTCTTGCGAGGACTTGTCCTTATTGTCCTCGAGGGACGGCGACGGCACGGAGTGCACCTCGTCCGAATCGTCCTTTCGGGTGTTCGGATTCACCGTGGTGGAGGCGGTCTTAAGCGCTGGCGTCTGGATGTGCTGGCTGAGAAATATAGCCGCTCTCTTCTTTCTCTCGAGTTGCAGCTGCCGTTCCTTGGAGAGTAACTTGTCCCGCGCGGCCGCCGCCAACTTATCCTTGATCCTGTCCTCCTGCGCCTGCTTATGCCTGATCTCCTTCTGACAATCCTCGAGGATATCGTCCGTCAGATCCACCAACTCCTTGTCGTCGCTGCCCTTCGGTTTCCTCTCCGATTTCGGCGGGTCCTTGTCTCCAATGGCAGCCGAAAAATTCGGATCGCTCGTGCCATCTTCCGGCGAACCCGGCTTGGAGTTGGCGTCCTTCTTGTCGCTCTCGATCTCCTCGTCGCTCTCCTCCAACGGCAACGCGTTCCTCTTCTCGATCACCGTGCTCTCCCCGTCCTTTGGCTTTTTAATGGAGAACGACACGGTGGTGATCTGCTTCGTGGATCCCGCACTCTGCTTCGCCTTCGCGTCGCCGCCGCCGTTCTTCTTCTTCGCCTGTATCATCTTCACTCGCTTCTGCACCTCCTCCATTCGCTGCTGCTTCTTCTGCAGCTCCTCCAGCTTCTTCTGCTTCTCCTCCTGCGGCTCCTGCTTCTGCAGCAGCTGCTCCTCCGTCAACACCTTCGGATTTATCGCGCCCTCGTACACCGTCAGCTTGTGCGCGTAGTAACCGTGGTACTGATGCGACAGCTCCAGGAAGTTGAATCTGGGATCCCCCTTGTTCTTGACGATCGTCTCGAAGTCGCGTCCGTTCTTCGCCACGTAACTCGCCATCTTGTCAATGATGATCTGAACGTCCGCTGGCGGCACGATGAAGGACGGCCTGCTCAGTGGCTTTTGCACGGGTATACCGTACGGTACCAACGGCGCGGGCGTCTCGTTGGACGATGCTGTTTGCGTCGTGGCCGCGGCGTCGTTCGGCATGATCGGCATGGCGAGCTGCGAAGGCGATTGCATTTGTCCGTTCGACCCGTATATAACTGGACCGTGCGAGTACTGCATGGGCGTAGGATAAGGAGGATAATTCTGGAAAGAAGAAGTCGTAATGTGCGATAAAGAACAATGAAAATAATAAAAAAATCAAAATTTTCGGCCAAACTTTGAATATATTCTATTTTCAACACGATTGTTGCCAGAATCGTACCTGCGGCGGCATCGAGTGATAGTATCCAGCAGACGGCACTGACTGCATCGCCGGGTCTAACGCCTGTGGTGCCTTGGATGGTGGTGGTTTCCCCGTGATCTTGTTCACGAGCATGGAGTACGCGCAATCCGCCGACGGTTTGTACTGTATGCTTGGTATGCTAGGTGCCTAGAAACGGGAAAAAAATTCTCTTGTAGCAATTTTGTATATTTAGTTTATTCTAAATTTATTATATTGTTATCCTCTACGGTATCCATTAAAGTAAAACTGGAAATATATTCGGGTTGCTATCATATTTTATATCTCTACAATGCAAATACAAACTTTAGAAGAATAATAAGATGGAAAAACATTGTTTCAAAAGCGTATTTTAAAAAAATATATAATAAATTGTGATTTGTACGCGTAAATACTTGTAAATAGTAAGTCTTTTTAATAATACTGAATTGTACTAACACATTTTAATTAAATTTAATAAATTCATTTGTCTGATAAAATGATAAATGTTTGCTGGATTTGCTTGGAATATCATCAGTATGCACGAGCGCGTGGAAATGATTAACGTTTTAAATAGGTGCAATAAATGAATAAATAAAAATGTGTATGAGAATAGATCCAATGCATACCAGAATCAGCCCTGGAAGCAGAAATATTTGACACATAAATTAGTGTTGTAGAGTATTATTAACACATTTCATCCTATTGTGATCCGTGTGAATTTCGAGAGATCGCCATTCATTAAAAATAATTCAGTGTGGGGCCCAGCTAGGGATCTTCGCATTTTTTTTTCGAACTACCCCCAAACGCAAAATTCTTCCGCACGAGAGATAGAGAGCGCAGGGACCGCTTATGCATTTTTAAGAACAGATTAATGTACAGCGTGCAAAGTGACAATGTGTACCGTGCAAAACGTACCGCTTCGATCTTGGTAAGTGACGACGCGAGACTTGGATGCAGGTACGGTTCGTCATCTTCGTCAGAGTTCTCTTCCTCGGGTTCTACCATTGAAAGAAAGGATAACGATGAGACTCGCGCACATCTCAAGATCGTTGAGATGGATTACGGCATAGGTTACCAATTAGAGTATATTAACAAAAATTTATGGCAATACTTACGGCAAGAAAAACTAAGTAGAATCAAAGTAGGTGTGGGTAATCAAATCCTGCTTTATGTCGCTTCAATTACTTCAACTCAACTTCAATATAATTACCATAAGGCATCGCTTGTTATAGAAAGTGATATGCATACCGGATTCTTCTTTCTCAGGCTGCTTTTCGGGATTATATTTTCCACTCTTGATAGCATCGAGGACATATTTGTAATACTGATGGAGCGGCTCGTCTATCGATAGGAACGCAAATTGTGGATTGTTTGCCTGTTTCGTCTTTATCAGGATTTCCAATTGGCTTCCGTGTTGACTTATAAACAGCGCCGTTTTCATTATAATCGCATTCAGTTTCTGCGTTTCCGGCTGCAACATTCGAAAGTATTATATAGCTATATTATCTAACGTCCACGAATTGTAATCAGACAAATGTAAAGAGATCTTACCAGGAGCATCCCCTCGGGAATTTCCAGCTCGGGCGGCGGCACGAATGCCTGATCCTCCTCCTGCGAGCCCTCCGACTGTTTCGGGCTCTGAGAATCCTCGCCGGAGGCTTTATGACCGTTCTCATCTTCGTTGTAATTATATCCCATTTGATTGTACGAAGATTCGGAATCCAGTGCCTGATGCAACCTCTTTATCTCCTCTTCTGCAATGTAGATTCGCAATCAAATTCGCGATTGAACTTTCGTCTAAAGCGGCGTACAATGAGACTTAAGATTAAAGAAAATTGACCAATCGAATAATGGATTATTCATCTTACGTGAGAAGAATGATCGATTGTGATTGATCAATTTTCTTAAATCTTAAGTCTTATTGTAGACGCCGCTCAAGGTCTAAGAAATATTATAGAGCGCTTTCCATTTAAAGAGACACAAGTTGACACAAATATCGTTTTGTTTTTGTTTTACTCACTAAATGCTAAAAAGGATAAAATGACATTTGTGTCAACTTGTGTCACCAAGTGGAAAGCACCTATAATCAAAAGCGTTCTCTAGACAAAGAAGATATGTTACCATGGTACATGGACTCCTCCGCGTCGTTGTTGTAGAGGGACCGATACCGCTCCTCGTCACAGAGTTGCTCTACTTTCAGTTCCTCCTCGGTAAGTATCGTCCGCTGATCAAAACCACCCGGTGGTGGCTCGTGAATCCGTAAGTCTGGCAGCGCCCCGCGTCCATCGTACCTATACACATACAATACGTCTGTTAGAGGAGGAAGATGACATTGTTTTTTTTTTGTTTTTTTTTTTAGTCGTTGATGTACAGTCGGTCACGGCATCTGGAAATGTTAAAAGTCAAGGAGTAAGTCCCAACGAAGCTGATTTCTCTGAAATAGAACAGAGGTACAGGGGAGCGCCTCGAGTAACGTTTCTATCTCCGTTTTCTCAAAGTATCATATCGCGCGATAAATTTTACATACATATAACTATCTCGAGTAACACAATTATCTCGTCACCATTTCTGAGTTACAGTGACACATTCGATTATGTTTATTTTTAAATTTAGCATACAAATACTCGAATATAGACATTCGATTACATTCATTTTTAAATTTAGCATACAAATACTCGAATATGGACATCTGTTACATTTGAAAGATTGATGTAACGAAACGGTGGACGTAAAACCCCTGTCACGCTGCGCAGTGGAGACTGAGAATCGCGACCTTAAGGGATTAGAATTTGACTAATCAACGAAAATTAAAGTTAAAATCATCTCGATCGATCGAATTCGAATCTTCAATTCGCCATCCTCAATCTCCAATGTGTCGTGCCTGACACGGGCTCAAGTCTTGTCACGTCGATGCAAATCAATTCGAACGCATTTGCATGTATAGAGAGCACGTCAACAAAACGAATCCATATGACTGTAAAAGCTTGCGATTAATACAAGTAACGTAACGCCCTGTTGCGCGCCACCCGAGGCAAAAGCCGAGTCTAATTGTGCCAAATACATACCGTGCTGAGCGGTCGTATAAATACCTACAACCGCGTCAGCCTGCCCGTTTGTCTGTCAACGCCGTGTCTCACCTTGCTGCTGCACAGACGGCCAGCCACAATTCGTCACGTCTCACCCAGAGCACCTGACTCTGCGCCCGTGCAGAACGCGTATAATCGCGCTGCACGTTTCACAGCCGAGAGAACACCTGCGGAAGCCTTAAACAGTCTCCAGTTTGCTTATCCAGAGATTAACGATGAGAGGGGGGACCCCGCTTTTTATTTTTTTTTTTTTTTCGCTTCTAAATGCAGTACTTGGATTTTTGATATACATGTACATTTTTTTTTTGTATTCGAATTTGGTGGTTGTTTTTTTTTTTGTTTGCAGTCGAGGTCAGTCGAGGTTACTTTTTTTTTTTTTTTCGCGTTACGTTTCGTCGTTTTCGGGGGAAACGTAACGGGTGCCCGTGTGCGGTCACATTATGCATGAGAACAAATATCCTAGATGAGAAATTGGTTTCTAGGTTAGAGAAACGGACCTGTCTATCCTCAACGTGTTATCGGCCATCCATGGTATCAAATGCTTTCCCTGATCAATCATTTTCGCCTTGTCATCATCGCGAAATAATTTGCAGCTGTATCCGAACACCAACAGCTCCTGCGGTTCCTCGTCGCTATTCTTTTTACGCAGAATGCCCGAGTCTACCATCCACCGGTGGCTTTTCGACGACGCCATTTTCCGCGACTGCAACTCCGGTCACCGAAGTCCGACCGACCCCGACCGGACACGACACGGTCGACGCGTATGATGACGGAGACCGGGAGACGAGCCGACTCATCCGACCCGACGATCAGCGAGCGAGCGGGGTGAAGAGAGGGGGGAGAAAAACCGTCCAGGAAATCCTCCCTTCCATCCCCCCCCTCGGTTCCGGGATGCGCGCGCACGGAATGCGAGCAGCGGGAAGAGCGTTTTGCGGCTTCCAGATGACCAGATCATTCTTGCCTGAGAGCACGAGGAGGAAGGTGTATCGTAATTTCAAGAAGTTAGAGGAGCATATATAATTTACTATTCGGTGGGACTTGCTTAAAATTACTCCCTTTAAATTTCTGGATTGTCTAGCAATATACATATACGATGTATATTATATATATGTATATATATATTGCGTACAGATTTATCGATACCGACCGGCATTATGAACGTCGCAGATAATCAGGACAACAGAATGTTAGGGCCATGGTATATTCTTACACCAGTTAGGTTGTTAGGGCAACAAGCGCAATCACCAGCACCAAGCCCAGCTCAACCTCAATCGGGTGCGCCGACCGGAGGGCAACCAGGTCCGCAGCAAGCCACGCAAGGACAAATGCCTGGTACCGGTGCTCCAACGGGTGAGTTAAATCTCTAGCTTGTCCTATTGTAAAACGCGTCACGACACTGCATCTATGCTCAATGCAAACCTTGTCTTTTGGGTTGTCTGGTGCTTTAGATGCGAAATCAACGCCCGATTCACAAAAATGTGAACTTATACGGCAACTATTAGTGTTACTTTTGCATGCGCAAAAATGCCAACGACGCAAGAGTCAAGCGAACGGTGAGATAAGACGGTGCACCTTGCCGGACTGCAAAACCATGAAAAACGTTTTAAATCACCTGATAAATTGTCAAGCCGGAAAGAAATGTATTGTGCCACACTGTAGCATGTCTCGACAGATCATCAGTCATTGGAATCACTGTAATCGAATTGACTGCCCAGTCTGCTGGCCGATAAAACGAGCAAACAGGAATGTTGCGCAAGGTAAACACATTTGAAAACACTTGTCATTTTTTTGCATCATCAGATTTTTACTCTCTGAAAAATAATCCCTAAAATAACAGATCCCTATAATAACAGAATGTTTTTTTTTTGTTTTCTATGATTTAGCAGATATTTCAAATAGCATTTATTTAAAGATACACATACATTTACATTATACGTCCGTTATATGTATGTCTTTTCGTTAGCACCTGCAATTCAACTAAATAATCAGCCAAATACAAGTCCATTCGAAATGAGATGGCCTTATGAAGCTTATAAAGCTTTAGGGATTCAATGTCCAACAACAACACCGGGGATCTTGCCCGGTCAAGACGTTGATAGAGGCGTTAGAATGCCAGCTCCCAGCATGACAGGTCCAGGAGCACTGGGCAACGTTAGATTAGCGCAACCTCAAACACAGAGTAAGTTGCACATTTTATTATAAAGATCTATTAACTGTTTGCATTTTTTTTTAAATTTTAATGCTTCTTTCAAATTTATATCTGTGTAAAAATATATTTTTTATATCCTGTTAAACAGTATAAGATTGATGCGTATTAGATTTGCGCAAAAAGCAAGTATCCGGTGTCTGCTAATGTTTCAGCTGCACCGGGACAATCCGTAGTCAGTGCTGGACAACAAGTAGTCACTCTGAACGTATCTCTTCCTTTAAATTCCGATCCTAGTACGGTCGGGGCAGTCAGTGCTGAACAACAAGTAGTCACTCTGAACGTATCTCTTCCTTTAAATTCCGATTCTAGTACGGTCGGGGTAGCCGACAATCAGACGGTACCGACGACCGGACCCACATCCACCGCAGCGGTCGCTGCCAATATACAGCAGTCTGTTAATATGCAAACGTTCGGACTGAACGAGTCCGGGCAACCCGGCGTGATAAGCGGGGAAAATAGATTAGCAGATCTGCAGCTTCCAAGCGGTCTTCAAGCGGGTCAAGTTACGGCGTCGCCAGTGCAAGGAACAAAAGAGTGGCATTTGTCCGCCACTCCAGATTTCAGGAACCATCTCGTTCTTAAATTGTTAATAAGAGTTTTACGTATAATAACGCGTTCTCGTTCGGAATTCGTCTCGGTATGTTGTAGCGTGTCTATTTATTTTTCTTAGGGTTCAAGCAATATTCCCGACTCCCGATCCGCAAGCCATGCTCGATGAGAGAATGCACAACTTCTTGGTCGCATACGCGAGGAAGATGGAAGATGACATGTATGAAAAGGCCAACTCTCGGTCAGAATATTACCATCTGCTAGCCGAAAAAATTTACAAGATTCAAAAGGCACGAGGTAAATAGTACAATTTCGACAGCACCCGGATATTTCTTTAAAGTCTACATTCATGGAACGTTCTTCAAAATCGTTTTAAATAATGTCATAAATAGATTAATATGATTCTGTGTTTTATGACATCTTGAGACTACTTAAGACATTTTTCAGTATAAGAACGAACTATGAATATATTTTTCAGTCAATTTTTTGTTGTTATTAACACTGTGTGCTTTCCAGCAAGAGACACAAATGACAAAGTGAATTGTTACATTCTTGTTGCTCGCCAATGTTAAACAAAGACGAAATGATTCACTGTATTACAGTGTCATCTCTTGCTGGAAAGCATCTATTACATTCTTTCTAATGGCTTGAATATACTCGATTGTGTATATGTTCATATGATATAAGAATTTGATAACCGAAATCGTTTCCGAAAAGAAATCGCTCCGCTCTTGGCCTTTACGAATTCAATTTAATTAACAGTTTAATTTCCTTTAATATTTTAACTAACAGAACTTGCCGTCTTGTTAGTTGCACTAAAACGAACCAATAATGTAATAATAAAATACCGATTTCGAGATAGCGGAATTCCAATCGTGTAAAGTGTATCAGATGCAGATTTTGTGAAAGAAATAAAAATATAATTACAAAATAAAATTATCTGAGTAATCAAATTCTAATTTTCAATCTTCGCAAACGTCAACTTCTATATAGCGCGTACAAGTCTGATATGGGCTTCAACTTTAAGCGGAATCTTTTAATTCTTTACCTTCGCGATTCCGTTATTGACGAATTACTGAGCGATTGCCTATTAATGTCGTTCATGTCGAGAAAAAGACGCGATCGAATCGATTCGAATCGGCCGCCACGGCGCTGGGGTTGCGCGGCCGGGCGGGGGCGCCCCGATCGATGCTGAGTTGCCGATGATCGCGCGCTTATTTATCGCACGGCATTTCGCCACGGGCGACTTTTATCGGCGATAAACGGCGCATTTCGCGCCCGCGGATCACCACGCACGACGGCGTGCGCGTCCGCGCGCAATTGGCCGCGCGGTAGCACCCGCGTGCCGCCCCCTCAGTACGTTATGGAATGCGCGACGGGCAGCTACCGTGTTACGCGGCTCCGCACGATGCCCGGCCGTAGAGGCACGCCAACCGACCGGAATACGTGCGTGCGACGCGGCCGCCGCGGGCACGACGTCGTCTCGCCGCCCGACACCGGACACGGTACGCGCCCAAGCCGTCGTCGACCGACGACGTGCACCGTCCGATCGTCGCCGTCGCTCGTGGATCGCCCCAGCCTACGTGCAGCCGTCGTTATTCACCGCCGCCGCCGTCGCCGTCGGTAGCACGTCGTATACGTGGCAACAGAGCCGAGAGTGAGTGTGTGTTGGCCGTGTGGTGCTGCCGTGTGCGGAGCGCTGCGTGCTCCGTGGGGTGTCACTTCCTAGTCGCGAGGAGGGATCACCACCGTCGGTGGCCCACTCCGTAACGTGGGACGTTTAAGTTCGGCGTACCCCGCGCGCGTAACGTCCGTGCGCCGGGAACGGGGACCGTCGCCCGTGTCCCCAGCGCGACGCGACGGGGACGCGAACGGGAACGGGGGACGCGAAGCGACGCGACACCGCGGGTCTCCCCTCGCGTGTGTACGGATCGAAAATCCCCCTCGGGGCCGCCCCGAGCGCCAGGTAGAGCCCGGCCGACAGCGAGACGTCGGCGTCGCCGATCGCCGATCGCCGACGTTCGTCCCGTTGCGCGCGCCAGAGCTGCCATTGAAGGGGGCCCCCTTCTTGGCCTGGTACGAGCATTCCTGGAGTCTCACGCCGATTCACGGAGCTCGCGGAGGCCCAGCGTCGTCGAGCGTGTCCGAGAGGGATACCCAGCTTGCGTGCGCGACGTCGTCTCGGAGCCCAGGAAGCAGCCCCCCTCGACGAGGATATAGCGCGTTGGGAATTTTATGGTGTAAGTTCGCCTGTTGCCTACTGGCTTCTGGTGTTACACACCAGTCATCGTCTACCGCGCTTCTGCCGTGTTACTGGTATTCAAGGAGACTCCGCGCCCGCACGAAAAGTGCGGAAAATATAAAAATACAATATTTAAGCTCGCGCGGCAATAACAAAATAGGGTAATTGCGTAAATAAATTAAAAAAAAATACAAAAATATAAATATGAAGGAACTGAAGTTTGAAAGAGGGCAAATGCTTACCATAGCTATTGGTAAACAAATGATTATTTGATTTTTCTCTTGTAATTATTTTGTCCCTTTAGAATATCAGTCTCGTGCAAATGTTTTTAAAATTTTCTTTTCACATCACGGACTTTCGCAACAGGTATTCCCGATGGGCCTGCTTATCCTCTGGCTACAATGGGCTGACGCAGAATGCGACTGACTCGTCATTACTCCTGCTGCTCCTCTCTCCGCGGTGTCACCTACATGAGAGAGAGCTAATTTGACGAGAGTTAATGGTGCACCCTGTCGTCGTTGTCCTCCAGTCGACGTAATGGAGGAGCCGGTTAAGAAGAAGCAGCGTATCGAGATTAGCGCGGGCGCCAAGAACGGGCTCACCGACATCGAGGAGCTGCAGAGGAGCCTGCTCGCGCGGTGCCTGTGCAATATGCCGGAGAGCAGTCTGCGCAAGCCGTTCACCAGCTTCACGGTGGAGGAGGCCGACGGTAGCATCCGCTACGCCGTACTGCCCGAGTGGGACACGGACCAGATCCTCGAGTATCTGAGCGCCCTGCAGCTGCTGTTCGACCTGGCGATCAGGCAGAACGCGAAGAACGTGATGTGCAAGCGCGTGATGGACGTCTGCGACGCGGTGGCGCGGAACGAGCACGGCATCGTCGATCAGATCATCGACCTGTCCTACACGACCGACAAGTTCGTGTCGTACGCGGCGAGTCGCGTGCTCGCGTCCTTCTTCATCGTCACGCGAGACAACGTGGAGGTCGCCTGGCTGGAGAGGCTCACGCAGTCCTTAGTCAACACGCACTGCCCGAGCCAGATGCTGTTCACCCTGGACGTGGTCAAGAGAGTGGTCGAGCACAAGGACTGCAGTATACATCCGCTGGAGGACGGGGACACGTCGGTGCCGCCGCCCGACTGCAACACGTTCGTCATCACCGACTTCGATAGCACGGCGGTCAAGGCGATGTGCGTGAAGGCGCTCGAGTCCAAGTGGACCATCCTCGTGTCCAAGTTCAATGACATTCTCGGGGCGTACACGCCGCAACACGCGTCCGTCGTGATCACGTTTCTACACTTGTGGGAGACCGTGATCTCGGTGAAGGCCAATCTCTCCGTGATCGACACCAAGCCCTTCTACCTGCAGCTGAACAATCTCGTGCTGTTACTGAACGCCAACGTGCCGGGCGTGATCTGGCGACACTTGCTCGGGCTCTTCAACGAGGTGCTGTGCTACGGCAGCACGCTAGCGCTGCAGGACGTACTACCGGACGAGCCGTGCTCCCTGGCGCACCTGATCGTGCGCGCCGTCAAGGACTGGCGGCTGCTCGACGCGTTGCCGTATCGTCACGGCTCCGGCAGGTTCGGCGGCGGCACCGGCGAGGGCGATCGTCCTCTGCTGCAGAAAATGGTGCTGCTCGTGCTGAAGAGCGTCGCCGTGACGGTGAGGGAGACGCGCAGCGACTCCAGCGACTCGTCCCTCGGCTCCGAGGCCGAGGATCTCGACGAGGACATGGCGGTGATCGAGAGGAGTATCCGCGAGGTTCTACGCCAGCTGGATCAGTGCGTGAAGGCGCTGATGCCCTTCCATCCGGAGATGCCGCTGTCGCAGTGGGTCGTGCAGATGTTTCACGACCAGGACGACTTCCTGATCGAGGGTATGGTCTGCTGCCTGGACGTCGCCGTGGGCCTGTTCTACCGCGGACCGCCGCAGAACGATCTGGGCCAGATGCTCAGCCCCACGTTGACCTTCGTGCAATTCATCCGCGCTGTGTCGCACGACCCGGACGTTCTCCTGGATCTGCTCGTCAGCAACGAGACTTGCTTCCTGCTGTACCTCTTGCGATTTCTCAAGTACATTAGGCGTAATTGGCACGAGTTCGTCAGGTGCTGCGGCCGCGAGCTGGACGACACCATGACGGTGCTAATAAGATTACGGCTGGCCATCGATCGGCTGGTGTCTAAGAACCTGTTTCCGTACAACATTAGTCCGGTTCATCGTCTACTCGAGAAATGCGAGTCCTTCTACGAGGGTAACGTGGACAACGGCAACAGCCTCGTGTAAGATAATGGGGGACGTTCGGGGAGGGATTCGAATCGCCAAGTCGATCGAGCGTGTGTACAAAATTGTATGAACCGAAGTACTCTCCGAGCTCTAGTTAGATTTTGCCATCTGTAAAATATCGTGTGTAGTGTGTGTACAGATCGCCGCATACCGTCCCGTAAAACGCAACGCGGCTGGACTGACTCCGCCGATCCTCGAAGGCTTGGAAAAAAGAAACTCCGGAAGACGAACGACGTTTTCTTATTTATTAGTCTTCTTATTCTTTAGCGAAATTTTTCAATATAGCTGGAATTGCAAGACGGACGTTTAACGCCCGTCTGTGTTCACGAATCAGCCCAAGTTTTGGTAGTTACACAATCCGCAGTCGGAGTAGTACAAAAAAAAAAAGAACAAAGACAGCGAAATTTCCATCGATTGTCTCAAAACGAGGCTGCATTCGCGTGGTGCTAAATGAATTGCATTTCATGCCAAAGCACCATAATGAGAGCATGCATATTGATGTATACCACTAGTGTAATATTTATATGTATACTTCGAGAGCTATTTGTACAATTTCCAGTCACACACCTGTAAATGTAATTTTATATTGTATTTTGATGAAATACCTGAGAAATCTGTACATATCTCAAGCATCGAGCTCGCAAGAGCCGACCTATCGAGTTTTACTGGACGACTTGCTTATACACTTCCGATAATTCTGGAGGAAATTTAAAAGAGAAAACTCTTTTTAGTCTCTCGCATGAATTACAATGCGGCAAATCAGAAAAGATGTAACACGTAGAAAATTATATGTTGTCGTCAGGTCTGGTCTCGTACAGCTTACGTAAGGGGAAAAAATATATATATTTTGTAGCCGAGAAATACAATTATAAAATATAAATTTGCAAGCGTCGACGATATTGGAGAATACTTCTGGTTAGCATTTTGTATTATTCGTACTCTATTACGGAATGAAAAATGAAATTTCTTTAGCGACATTTAAAATTCTAAGTGGAAAGAAAAAAAAAACACGACGGTTATCCGCAGTTGTTTCGAGATTTCTGATGAAACGTAACTGTAAATAGTGACATTAACAACGCTATACAGGCGCGCTACGTATTCAATATAAGTATTTCTTTCTGTAAGTAATAATGTAATACACACTAAAATTCTCACGTTTTTACTTTTATAATTGTGGTGTCGTTTAATTCAATCTCCCCCTGTGATTGAGCTTAATTTACGATCGTTTTCGCAATTCTACGCAACGACGTAGGTAGACTCTTGCGGGAAAAATCAGACTCGACTGCAGCTGGAAGATATCTCTTCTCCTTTTTTTTTTTCAATCAAATATTTATTATCATCTTTCCCAAACGCAAGTCAAATACAATTGCCATTATCGAGACTTACGATTAATAATGTGTAGCCCGGCAGATTGTCAGTGATGCCCCGCGATTAATCGCGCAGTGTTCGATTACATTGATTAGAGCGACGTAACGCGCTTATCTCACCGGGACAAACCGTCCAGATATCTCCTTTTTGTTTCCTCTTTTTTTTTTTTACCTTAGAAAGATCCATATAGAATTAAGTTCGTAACGTTAGCCTTCCTCGGCTTATCTCTTCTTCTTTTTTTTTTTTTTTATAAAATTACGCTACTCTCTATTTAGAATTTGCAAATATAGCTCTAATTATTTAAACGTTCGATCGGAGCGCGATCGAGGAATTTTGTGTCGAGATGGACAGTTTTCCAGAAACACAAAAATTTTCTTACTAAATATTTATATTTGCGTATTAAATCATTATTTATATACCTCTGTACTTCGTCAATAAATCACTATTTCACAGCATCATTTTCCCATTTAAAACAAAAAACTTAGCGGTACCGTATTGTTAAGTTTCTCACCCCCCCCCCTCTTTTTATAAATTAAACGTTTATAATTGCGTTCCCGCTCACTCTCTCTCTCTCTCTCTCTCTTTCTCTTCGATTCGAAAGGTTACTTTGCTCCAAGTCGGTAAAACTATTTATCGCATATTATACACCGATGTATGAAACTACGCGAGACTGTACATACCTCTGTAAAGATTTTTTACTTAGCAGAACGGTAAATGTGTGTCCACTGCTTTTACTGTAACTGCAGCAAGAGTTAGTTTAACAAGCTCCACTAAATTAACAACAGAATCTAAGTTACGTAGCCCATTACTAGCGTGTAGTGTTCAACAGTGTGTGGATCATTTATCGCATTTTATCTCTCTCTCCGTGTTTACTGTTTTGCTTGCTCTTTCTATTCGTTGCTATACATGTACCCGCACTATCGGTAATAATAAACCGCTAATCGTTCATAGCATACAATTGAAGCATTCTCTCTCACTGTACACGTTATCTAAATGAAAAAAAAAAAAAAATGTTCAAATGTTCGTCGCGGCCAGAAGCGATTCCAAGCGATTTACGTAACGACACATGCGCGAGGCATCAAGGAGAAAATTAAAACACGCGAGTACCGTTCGAGACAGTCTCCCTTTCGTCACGAAAATATATAAGCAGACTGTCGTCCCGACGCGACGCCGACGGTTTTCAGACGAGAAGAAAAATCCGTCGGACACTGCGCACGTGTCCACTGCACGTGCAATTTGCATTCGAAACAAATTCTTATCTTTTAAGCTTAAAATTATCGACTACTCCGGAAGAAACAAATTCTACCTTTCACGCTTAAAATTATCGATTCATTTTACTTTTACACCCGACAATAAGGTACGTTAATAATGTCCGGGCTCGAGGAGGCGATTAAAAAACGATTATGCAAGAGCGAAAAAGGAAAAACGCAAATTTGCGTGTCGTCAAACATTCGCGCCAAGAGCATGTACGTAGAACATATGCGTTACACAAAGAGCCGCACGACAAATACAAAAGACGTAATAATTTTCCGCACGTGTCGCACTTATTATCTCGTTACTACGCATATGTATATATATATATATATGTACTTATTGTTTCGACTATACCTATTCGGTGCACACATAAGGCTTACTCAACGCTTTATTGCACACTTTACATCGAGCCGCCGCCTCATCTTCCTCTACTAATTGGGAAATCAATGTACAAAGCAATTAAAACTCGCTACGGAAAAAGATTTCGGGACCGTGATGTTTACTGGGATTTAATTAAAAACCAAAGTCTCCTCGGTTCACCTTCTCGTAGGAAACGATCTAAAAGGAATACACTTGCGAGAGGGATGTGTCCTTCGTGTGTGGTAGAGATTATTATATTAAACAGCACGCGCGCGCGCATATATATATATATAATATATATATATATATATCGTGTGCAACGGCGAAATACAATCGGATCACATTAACACGCGATTCTCTACTATCCAGAAGCCCTTATACGCTCTATAGCAAAAGTGACTCTCCCTCTTTATTTTCTCTCGCTCTTTCTCTCTTTCAATTGCGCTTCACGTTTAGCCTGGTAATTTTAATCCACGATTCGCCGTACGGCTAAACTCCCGATGAAAACTCCGTGTCACTCCGGTATTAAGTAGTCGGATGATATGAGCTAATTAGCGCCGCGTCCACCGGCTCCATGCACGACGGACAGGTCAACGAGCGCAGCAGCCAGTCGTCGATGCAGATCGCGTGGTAGGTGTGCATGCAGGGCAGGTAGCGCACTTCCTCGCCCACGAGCAGCTCCATCATACATATCACGCACTCGCCCTTCTTGGCGCCGTCGTACTCGCGCATCGGCAAGTGCTGTATCAGTCCTATGCGCTTCGCGATCCTCACTTGTTGCTCCTCCTCGCTCAAACCGGCCGAGCCGGTGCTCTGCACCAGGTTGACGCCGATTCCGCGGCCGATGTTCAAGTTGGTGGACTGCAAGTGACGTTCCCTCGTGGCGATCGACGGATAATAAGCCGCTTGCTGTGGAACGGAGAAATTAATTAATATTAAAACCCTGCGATATTATTCGCTTCTTTTATTGTTAGAACTCGTGAAAGTATATAGAAATATATATCTATTCTAGAATCCTCCACGTTTTGTTGTAGATGCCACGATTATAAGAAAAATTGGCAAGTAAATGTCTCTACAATTAATTATTGTACATTTATCTTAATTTTATATCAACGTTAAAGTAGAAATTACTGATGAAAACAGCAGTTGTAAAAAAACAATACCACATTAGAGACTAAAATAAATACGTTTGATCAATATCAAAGAGTATCATAGAGGAAATCTAGTCTTTTAAGCTGTATTTATAGTCTTTGTATTAAAAATCAGGTCTATATTATGCATTCAAATAAACGGTCGCGTTCAGCAGAAGTCAGCGCTTAATAAACACTTCCCGTCAATTGGATTACACTTTTAGATTTGGAGAAACAGTTCTACCTGAGCGAGAAAAACCTCCGACAGTTGCAAAATAAACATTCTGCTGAACGCGACAAAGTATCATTTCTACCAATGTAGATTAACTTTAATCTCAGGTTCAACTTACTCTTCATCCTCTTCTAATTCTAAGAATCAAAAATAGATAAAGGGTAAGTTAATAGCGTTGGTAGAAACGGACTTGGACGCGGAACACGGGAAAGAAATCGCGGACAGGTTAGAGAAAGTCTGAAAAACCGTCTCGGGGCCCGACGAGACAACGGGACGATAAGACCCAAGCAGCAATGACAAAGGCAACAATGGCGATGTACGTGAATTACGTTGTAGGGGATCGGCGGTCCGAGGCCCTCCTGCGAGGATCCGCTCGTGGAGACGTTGGGCTCGGGATTGTTGCTCAGGAGGGTGGTATTGTCCTGTTGGTTGCCAGCGGTGCGCTTCAGGCAGTTGCCCATGGTTCTCGCTCTCTCTCTCTCTCTCTCACTGTCGACTGGAGCTGTCAGCTTGTTAGCAGATCGCCCGCGCGTCGCATTCGCGCGTCCAACGCAGATCCGCGACGATATCCCGCCTCCCCGTTCCGCGCGCGAGCGATTACAGGAACCCGTGCGGGCGACGCGCGACAGCGACGTTCGACGCGCGCACGGCCGTGCTCCTTGCCATTTCACCTGGACCGCCGCTCTCGCCGCGGCGCGACAACATCCGCCGTCGACTCGTCGCGTGAGCAGCACGCTCGGCGGACGCTCGGCCAACGCGATCCGTGACACGCAACGCAGCCGTCCGTCGCAATAGCCGTCCGAACGCAGGCCGTCACATGCCCCTCGTACTCAGCCCAGCAGCAGGCACTACTAGCTACTAGCAGCAGTCGAGTCACTACCAGCTGAGCGTCGCCATGATGCGCGGAGCACAGCAGGTGACGACTCGTCCGCGCATCGCGAATGGAGCAGGGGGAGAGAGAGAGCGGAAGTTCGTCGATTTCGACGTATCGCGCCCGACGATTTCCTCGATTATTTATCTCGGCTTTTGTGGAAGCGCGGGTCGAACGACTCCTCTCAGCTGTCCCTCTCCTCCTTTCTTTCGATTTTACGTCGACATTCGCGATGCCATCTAAAAAAAAAAAAAAAAAAAAAAAAAACGAGAAAACAGGAAAAGAGCATCGGTCATGTGTGTTGATATAATCTCTGCGCTGACAAGCGTGGATCCCGTCGATGCCACACGCGCATCGGACGGATCGAGTGTCTCGCCAGCTGGTGTCCCCTAAATCACCACGTCGCGACGCGAGAGCGCGTTGTATTCTCCATGAGAAGGCACTTTCGAGCTCGCGCCCGCGGCCCGACGTTCTCGGGACGGGTAGTAGCGGGATCGCGCGTCCCGACGACGACGGCGCGACGCCTGGCACCTTCTCGCACACTTGTTAGAGGGAGAAACGGGCGCGTGAGAAAGATACGATCTCGCGGGAGGGAAAACGAGACGAACGTCTTGTTTATCCGCGATCGCGTACGTGGATCGCCGAGAGCTTCACGCGTTCGCGATTTTTAATTCCCCTTATCTTATACGCCTCGACTTCTGTCCCTCTTGCAGCTAGCGACGACGTGTCCCACGCGACCGCGCGACATATATAGAACGAAATTGTGCGCACTGTGCCGCCATCCAATCGGACGCTCGCTTGAAATCGGGTCGAAATCAAAACGCGCTTTTAAATCAGTATAGCTTACTCCGGTTCGCTTTACCTCCCGCTGAGACGTGTACTCCCGTTACCGTCTCGGCCGTTCCGCTTCCTCGAATTCTTGTATTCCGCACGGCAAGAAGCGGCCGATTATCTTCTATTGCGCGTCAGATGAATATATTGAATAACTTTAATGTCTATTTCCATCCAGATTAATTTTAATCTCGATCGAATTTACTTTCAGCTTTTTTTCAGTTTAAGCATAAGACTTGCGTTATAATATATCTCTTATTAAATTATATTATGTGTATTATATATTATATAATATTGATAAAAATAAATATAGATATTTCTTTGTTAATATAAGAAATATATAAGCAGATATAATATATTATATATACCTATATATATTTTATTATATAGTAATTATGTGAAATGTTTAACGAATATATGTTTCGCAAGCGCACGAGTGCTTTCTATATCAATTTATTGTTAAATGAGAAAATGAGATGTAATTGTGTAAAGCGATTAAATTGAGTGTAGTTTATATATAGAAATCGGCATAAAAATGCAAAGAATTGTCCTTCAAAATTCGCGCCCGGCAAAGAGAGTTCAATTGCCCGCTTCAAGTCATGCTCTCTCAATATCGTGAAATCGGCTCCTGATAGAATTCGCGGCTCACTTCGTAGTTCGCGTTCTCCCGAAGGGGCGCGGGATTCGAATCGGAGCACCGGCTCCTCGCGAGGCATATCCCCCTGGTAACATTTCACGGATTTTTCGACGCTACGGCCAGAGCGAAACGATCTCGTGTCGTTACGTACGCGGCTTCCCTTTTCTACACCTCGCGCTCTCTCTCTCCCACCGACGCGGCTGTACGAAGCGCTGTCGCGATTCAGGTGCGGAAGGTGTGGACCAGTGGCGGACGTGGTGACGAACAATTCCAATCAGCGCCGCGGCGGACAGATGGTAGCGCCAACCGCGTTTATCGGGTCGAACCGTCGGGGAGAAGCGTGGCGCCGAGTGCCGTGTCGTGTTCGTACTCGAACCTCAAAAAGGTACGGTCCCCTCCCCGCGAGCGCATCCGACGATCTCGACGTGACACCCCGACGACTCCGACGAGAGAGAGAGAGAGACTAATCCCGAACTGCGAGCCAGAGGATGGACGGTCACCGGGCGTCGCGATTCCTGGCGTTCGCGGCATCGGCGTGCCTGCTCCTGGCCACGTACACGCCGGGCCACGTAGCCGGCTCGGGGGTGCTGCAGATACGCGGTATACCGGTGGCGAAGAACCCGCTGTACCGGCCGGACCGCGACTTCGAGTGCCTGGACGGCAGCCGGCTGATACCGTTCACCCGGGTGAACGACGACTACTGCGACTGCGGGGACGGCAGCGACGAGCCCGGGACGGCGGCGTGCGCCAACGGCTCCTTCTACTGCGAGAACACCGGCCACCGGCCCGTCTACGTACCGTCGTCCTGGGTGAACGACGGCGTGTGCGACTGCTGCGACACGAGCGACGAGTACGCGACCAAGGTGGAGTGCGTCAACAACTGCAACGAGCTGGGCCGGGAGGCACGTTTGGAGCAGCAGAAGGCGGAGCAGTTGGCGCGGGAGGGTAACAAGCTGCGCCTGGAGCTGGTGGCCAAGGGTAAGACCATCAGGACGGAGCACCAGTCGCGTCTGGCCAAGCTGCGAACGGACTACACGGAGGCGGAGTTGCTCAAGAAGGAGAAGGAGATGCTGAAGAGGCAGGCGGAGGAGCTGGAGAGCGTGGCGTTGGAGAAGTACAAGCCCGCCGAGACGGAGCAACCGGCCACCGAGGAGACCGTCGGGGAGGAGGAGGAGGAGGAATTGAACGTTTCCGAGGCGGAAGATTATTTCAAGGTACTCGACTCGGACTCCAGCGATACGATAACGCTGGCGGAGCTGCAAACCAGGGCTACGTTTGACAAGGACAGGGACGGCGTTGTGTCGGAGGAGGAGGCGCGGTATTTCCTCGGCAACAAGAATGAAGTCACTCTGGATGAGTTTGTAGATTTCGCGTGGGCAAACATAAAGCCTTTCCTGATGTTGGAGCAAGGTAAGATAACGTCAAAGCGCTTGCTTATCTCTCTTTTTTTTTTTTACTATCCATAAACTGTCAATATTTGCATAATTGCAGGTATGTTTAAACCGGCGACGGATAAGGAGGAGATCGACGAGCAGCAGACTACCGAAGACTTGGATCACGAGAAGGAGGGAGAAATTCCCGACGGTGAGGAGGAAGAGGTTCCCGAGGAGGAACACGAGAAGGAGCCAGCGGAACCGGAGGTTCAGTACGACGAGGAGACGCAGGCGCTCATCGACGAGGCTACCAGCACTCGCGAGCGTTTCCAGGAGGCGGAGAAGGCCGTCAACGACCTGCAGTCGGAGATCAGACAGCTGGAGGAGAAGATGGAACGCGATTACGGGCCCGAGGAGGTGTTCGCGTCGCTCGACGACCAGTGCTTCGAGTACACGGATCTGGAGTACATTTACAAACTGTGCCTGTACGGCTCGGCGACCCAGAGGCCCAAATCCGGTGGTAGCAGCGTCAATCTGGGGAGCTGGAACGAATGGGTCGGACCGGCCGGCGCCAAGTATACCAAGATGAAGTACGACCGGGGCCTCGCTTGCTGGAACGGCCCGACCCGCTCGACGATCGTCATCCTGTCGTGCGGCACGGAGAACAAGCTCACGTCGGTGACGGAGCCGAGTCGCTGCGAGTACGCCATGGAGTTCGCCACGCCGGCGCTCTGCAACCCCAGCGCGGCGGACACCGCCGACAGGCACGACGAACTGTAAAGCTGGATTTGTTAGTAGTAAAAATGAAAGCGCGGTTGGGGGGTCGCACATACAATGTGAATGTCAAGCACTTAACGCTCTTACGGTGGACCGCGAGTATCGGGTTGCAAGGATCGATAAAAGAAATAACGTCGAGATAATAAAATTCATCTCTCGCAAGTATTTCGCAACGTAATCGCGATTAGTTATGTAGCAATCTTTATTTCAATGAATATCTGTCCTCGGATTGGGACTCACAATCGGTACTACCCTTTTTTCTTGTTTCCAAAATTAGCTAGCAATCCATTATCCGTTAGTACACAAGCGATAAAGCTTCACAGAGATTTCGAGACGCTATCGATTGTCGTTATCAATTTGGTCTTTTAGTATCGAAACTTTGTACTTTCAAAGATCAAATAAGGTCATCACCGTGGATAAAAAAACGTTGTCAAAAAGAAGCCTAATTGTGTGTTATTTTGACCAAGAAATCGATCGCTTTTGTATCAACAAATTGTAGATCTTTCGAAATCGTTATGTCTCATTGACGCATACATTGATCGTGCTATATATTTTACCAACTATTATAATTCGCGCATATTATTGGTCCGCAGTATTTTGATAAAAATCGCGAAAAAGTTTCTCGATCAATCTAATCATTCTAATCCGATACGTGAATATATACCGTTTAAATGATAATAGCTTCGGTACTTTGAAACAAGATTGACAATGCAGAGGCGTTCCGTTTCATGTATGATGCACATGATGTATCATTTTATCTTTATGTAAACTGTTTATCCTTCGGTAAACTAAAAAATACATCATGCACGAAATGGAACGCACCCTATGATAAAAGTATTCAAGTGTTTCCGCTGAAACGTACCACTATGTATGCAAATTACAACGATTACGATCGCAATCGATAAATTCTTCCTTGCATCCGACGAGTCTCCGCATAGTATTGAACGAAGTTCGCTAGTGATAAAGTAATTACCTTGAATCTTATTCCGTTTCGTGAAACTGCAGAGAGAAAGAGAGAGAAAAACCGTTGTTACTCGCGAATTCATTGCCAACGTGTAAAAAAAAAAAACTCACTGTTACATTCCTCTTTTTGTACACGAAGCGTTTTTACGTGATCTAAGAATAAAATCGAAATGTAATATCACGGCTGACGTAAAAAAAGAAATTTGAATGAGATGTACTTTGTATCACTTGGTACATACCTCGTACCGACAAGAGAAAAAAAAAAAGAGTCCGCACCTTTCCCGGGATTCGATTAGCCACATACGTACGTATAGAGTGTATAGACTATGTCCTAATGTTCCGCATTATACACGTTAAGTGTGGGTGATTTTGTAATTTTTTAAGGACTGCGCCACGAGGACGGCGCGACACTGTGGGATGTAATAAAAAGAGAGAGAGAAAGAAAGGGATTCTGTTATCGGATTTGCGATGGCAGCTTTATTTACATCAATGGAAAGAAAAATCTGTCGAGTGTAAATGCGCGCGTGTATGTATGTCTGTGTGTGTAGAATTTCTCTTGTTATTCTGTATATTATTACATAATATTACAGTGACGTGGTGGTTAAATCCAGTTTTCTCTATTTTAATTCTAACACAATAAGAGACGATCTCTGCATCTTTCGGGATCCGAAACGTACGTTCATCATCTGAATAACTAAATTAAGGGGGGGGGGGGAGAGAGGAGGATTTGATATCTCCCGCATATTCTAATAATCGTATGTCAGTTGCTCGATTGGTTCGCGGTAAGGCACTTGAAAGGCTACAAAAAATCATTTCTCCCTCGCGAAATTCGACGATTATTAAGACGATATGCTCTGTACAGCCTTTTTCCACGCCTCCTGGGTCAGCAAGAAAAACGGAATTGTGATCGCGCTGACTATCGACAATTTTCCTTTTTATTTCACGTTTTTCCTTTTAACAGTCTCCTATAGGCGTTCAATTAAATCGAGACAAGGTACAAGTATCACTTGGTGATACGTTCATTTGGTAATTACATCGACGAGGAATTGTAGGCTCGTTTTAGCGTAATTCTGATATTACACATTTCACATGTAGGCAGCCTATGGGAAACTCGTGTGGGAGATTTAATACGTTTTCTGTATAGAATAAACGGAGTTTTTCCGAGAGCGTGTCGAAAATATACAATTGCACACGTAACATTTCGTAGACCGTCGTACTGCTTACACCTCGTGTGTCTCTTCTACATTTATCAATGTTAATACTATGGTGTGTGACAAACACATATTTATATATATATATTTTTTTTTTTCTTCAAAATCATTAAAGTGATAACTTTCCTATATTCCTTTCGTATTTACACGATACAGGATAATACACGGTATTTATAAATGCATCACGCCGAAAGGATCACATCTTTGCTACGACTACTGTACAACTATCTGCGAGTGATATAAAGCTCTCTACGAGAATGTACGCGCATCCGCGAATGCGTTTCCGTGATGATGAGCGCATCGTGCACGATCAGGTATATAATCTCAAGTGTGTGTCGGAGTTTTCAGTCGTGTAAAAAAAAAAGAACACACGAACACGCGAGAGTTGAAAAATCTTCCGTCGCGCCGACTGATTTTTCCCAATAAACGCACCGACGACGAAGCACAGCCGAGGCTATTATCAACGTGAACTCATTCGCTCTTTTCGATTTTCAAAGTTAGAGATTTGTGATTACATTTTGATTAATCGATATGCAAACATGCCTGCAAATTATTCAAAAATGATCTGAATACCAAATTCAGTCATTTTGGTACTTGAAAAATTTTTACATATCTCTTCTCTAAATATATATATATATATGTATATTTAAAATAATATTTTCTGATTCACATTATTTTTACTCGTACGATTACTCGTTGAATCGATTTTCCATTATATCGAATCCACAGTTCTGTGGACGACCAAAAGGAGTCAGTCCTCTATGAAAAATAATTATCTGCGATCTCGATAATTCTCGATTTCTTTTGTTTTTTTTTTTTAATTCGTTTATGATCCAAGCGAGAACACTAGTCCTACAACATGCGTATTTATCAAGCGCTAAACGAGACCGTTTATCTCTTCTCGCGTTTCCCGTGTCTTCTCTTCCCGCATTAAGCACCGATCGCTAACGAAGCGATCCGCTAATCGAAACAGAATCGCGATTCCATATCATTCTGTCGCGGCGCGCGCGTTCATTTTCCAAGTTTCTCGAACATGATCAGCTTCTCCTTGAAGCTCTTGGTATCGGTGGACACCTCCGATATGTTCCCGTTGAGCATGTTCTGCAGATCCTCGTCGTTCTTATTGCTCACTAGCAGATTGTCGAAAAGCATCTTCGTGTCCTCCTGCTTGGCCACCGGCGACGACGGCTGCGACGTGCTCATCGGCTTCTTCCTCGGATAGATAACGGAGCCGCGTTGATTGTTCCCGTTGTCGGCAACCCTGGTCATTATCGTGATGGCCAACAACTGTTGGACAGTGCCCAAGTTCTCCTTGGACACTGGCTCAGAAGACTGGCGCCAGTAGCACTTATTGTCGGCGGAAATGAGCGACTTCGAGTCCTCGGTGTCGTCTCCCATCGACGTCTGATCGGAATCGGTCATCGGTACGTTTCGGCTGGACCAAGAATCCTGAAAGATCGTTAGAAATTAATTCCTCTATCATTGTGAAAATTATTTCAAAAATATGTACTTCGAGAATATATAGTTAGAAAAGTTTTATACATAATTCTTTATAACATTTATGACAAATTTTATTATCAATTTGAAGTCTGATAAAAAAAATAAGTTCAAAATAATTTCAAGCAAATTTTATTTATTTAACTAGCGTAATTTCTTTAGATAAAAAGAAAAAACAGAAAAATGCTCTATTTATATTATCTTCCTGTCTTCCGTAAAATCTTACATTTTTTTCACGCCTATCTATCACGCTGTCTGTGATCTCCTCTTCCTTCCTGTCCTGCTCCAAATCTTTCTCGAGACTATCCAGCGTCTCGGTGCTCTCCGACGACTTGTTCCTCCTCTCCGAATCCAGGGTATCGGTGCTACCGAGCTCCGAGCTTTCAGAGGATTTCTGGAGCCTCGACGGCTTTCTGGTAGGAGTCGGTCGCTTCTCTCCCTCGTGATCCTCTGCAGACACTACAACGTCCACTATGCTGGTGCTTGGTATTCTTTTAGGCGTCCTTCTGACCCTCCTGTTCTCCAGCCTGTCCTCCACGTCCAAATTATCCGAGCTCTCCGAGGACATTCTCTTGCTGGATCGTCTGCCGCCCATCTTCGGCGCGTCGTCGTCCAGTATCACTTCCGCCTCGACGTCGTCCTTCACGTCGCTCATGTCGTCGATCCTGTCGAAGTTCTCGGACGACTTGGAGATGCTCTTCGACAGCCTCCTTCCGCGCGACAAATTGATGTCGGACACGCTGCTTCTCTTCTGCAGCTCTTGGCCGATCTCCTCGCCGACGCTCTGCTCGAGCAGGTCGAAGCTCTCCGACGACTTGGACATCGCCTTCGAACCTCTGCGCGCTCGGAAGTCGAAGCTACTTCGTCGTCGCTCCATGGAATCGTCGCTGGCCAACGGCTCGATCGCTTCTAAGCTGTCCGACGACTTGGAGACGCGATCGGTGGACTTCGAGATCGGATTCAGCAGTCGCCTGACCGCAGCTACCGGTTTCGCGGTCTCCTCGTACTCCATCAGCTTGTCGAAGCCCTCCTCGGTGGATTTGGAGAACCAACAGCCGGGCGACGAGTCCAGGCTGTCGGGCGACTTGGACAATCGATTCGACGAAGATCTCCTGCGCGGCAGTTTCGCTTCCAGCTCCTCAAACACGTCGGAGCCCTTGGATATACGGTTGGACGGCCTCCTGGCGACCGGCATCCATCGGACTTCCGCCTGATGTTCCTCGGCAGTAGCAGCGGTCATCTCGGCGCTGTTTCGCGACGCTGTGGTAGCGTCCAGACTATCCGGCGACAGCGACGTGGCGCTCGGTTTTCGCGGTAGTCTCGACTCCCGCTCTTCGAAGATGTCGGAGTTGCGGGACAGTCGGCTCGACGACTTCCTGGTCACGCCAATGGCTCTGGGCGGTTCCGTCGGTGACGACGCATTGCTGGTTGATTGAGGCTGCTGCTGCTGCTGTTGCTGTTGCTCCTGTTGCAAATCCAAACTGTCCAGAGTGTCCTCGGCGATGGTCGGTGGTATCGACGGCGAACTGGGTGCGGCACCATTGGGCGATGTCGGTGCCGTCGTGCGACGCGGTGGACGCCGGTTCTTCGGACGCACGGAGATCCGGTGATGCGCCGCAGTGTGGCTCAGACTCGCGCTTTCTAGCTCCGCTGTCAAGTGAAGAAAATTGCATTTATTGAGATCACTATCACGCGAAGTATGATAATATAATATGAACGTAATGTGATTTATAAAATGTATGTAATCTACATTATTAATGTGATAACAATTAACATTAAATATATTTTTCAGGCATTCAAAATAAAGAACGTACAATAAAGGTTAAATTGTTTTATAAATCATTTCGTATTATTTAAAACGGACATTGAACGTTATACAAGTTCAAGTTCAACGACATCATTGTAAAATATTTTTCAGCTAGCTTTCTCTCACTACTTTTCTACGTCTTTTTAATCTAACGTTTTCTCATATTTTCATGTATAAGCTTGGAATGTAACTAGACATCATAAATCGTGACTATCTGAATAATTTGGCGTGTTGTGAAGCAATGAAATTGTGAGTAACATTCTGTAAAACTTACGTAAATCTTCCTTGACCACCGGAACGATCCGATCAAGCGAGTCTTTCGTTGATCTCGTAATCTGTATTTAAAGAAACAAAAAAATCGCTTTTATTATTTATTTAATCTGATTGAGCTTATATCACGCATTGCCAACGAATTTCATTCCACGATTTTTCGTTCTGATTGTCGAAAGTTTGTAAAGAAAACAAGAAAAAAAATTTAAATTCTCGTAAGTTTGCTATTCCTGTGTGATCTAAATTAATATCATTAATTAAAATTAATAGTAAACAATATTTCTGGAGTTTCCGCTTCAAGAAAACACGCTTTACAAATTATAATACTTCCCCGTTCGTTATCAATAAAATTAGAAGAAGCACAAGTAGAAGAAGCGCGTGTGCTAAAAAAAAACGTTCCCTGGCAAGCTTCATAAAAGTAGATCTCTAACAGATGTGGATCTAAAGAGTTTCCTGCGAGCCCGATAGTTTTCGATTTGCTAATTGATTTGCCTGAACGCGACGAGAGATTCCGTGCGACATAACGTGATTCTCGGCGCCGGTAACGGCGCCGATAATTCTCGACAGGCGAACGAGGCAGAGCGAGCACGTCGCATGGTCGGTCTCTAACGGTATTGACCACCGTGCGAGCCGAGTCGCCGAGCGGCGCGGCGCGGCGCGGCCACTTAACCGCGATCGGCTTCGGAAACCGGTCGCAGGTGCGTCGTCGCCTGCTTTCGGTGCCGAAGTCATTTCCCGAGAGAGAGAGAGAGAAAAGGAGAGCCGCATCTCGCGTGCACGTTGCGAGAACGAGAGGTGAAGCTCGACGAGGGCTCGAGAGAGGAGAAAGGACGATACGGATTGAGCTTGGATCGCGTTCGTCTCTTTAGTCGGCGCGTAATTGCGCCGACGATCGCGCGGTTCACGCGATTCATCGTACGTCACGTGGGTGTAGACACGAGAGAGACGATAATAAGGCACGAAAGAGCAGCGAACGAACGTGGTCAATCCTCTCGGCCCGTTAAAGTCATTTGTACGCCGAACACGAAGCTCCATGTAACATCCCGCGGTATTTGCGACACGATCCTTTATCAGAGAGAGCACGCAACCAGCTGTAATATTTTAAATAATTTTAATATAAATTAGTACACACTAATTTATCAAAATTATTATTTAAAATATTATACATATGTTAATTATATTAATTAATAATGTATATAGATAATCACATATTAATTAATAACGTATATAGATATTCGTTCTTAATATTTGTTAGTTAATACTAAGTTATTAAAATTATTAAATTACTTAAAATGTTAAAATAAGTCGTTAAAATTACTTAAATTATTAAATTAATAAATATCTTCTTGACAATATTTCGAGGAACACGTATATCATAAGTTTCTCTTCATAAAAAATCAAAAATCTGCAAATCTACGTCGAAATCAACCGGCAAATAAAGTAAATAAACATAAAACGATTATTTTTCTTATAAGATAATTTTCCTTCTAAGATTTAAGGAGGTACTCGGTACGAATCGATCGATTACCTCGATCGCGTCCTCGACGCGAGACTGTTCCCTCGCAGCTCGCTGGATTCTGACGGTCGTCGCCGTATCTGGCTGCCTCGATCTCGGACGATCCTCGATCTTGTACAATGGTCTGATCGACATCACCGACGCGTCCGCGACCTTGTCCTTATACAGAGTCGTATACAGACCGATTACATATGACTATCCGTTTATTAGTTCGCGTGTAATAATTATTATACGTCAGCACGTAATCCGCGCTTATCGCGGGACTCTCATGCTAGAAATTTATCATACGATCGATTACCTCGATCGTGCTGACATCGATTCGAGCTATGTGCTCCCCCTTGATCGCCCGTTGACCTTTCGATGGGATCTTCGTCGGTGGGACCGGCGCCGTCGTCGATCTCGCTCGGCTCTCATCTTTGTTAAGGAACGTATCCTTGTTAAGGGACGTATCCTTATTAAGGAACGTATCCTTGTTAAGGAACCTATCCTTGTTAAGGGACGTATCCTTGTTGAGGGATATATCCTTGTTAAGGAACGTATCCTTGTTAAGAGACGTATCCTTGTTAAGGGACGTATCCTTGTTAAGGGACGAATCCTTGTTAAGGAATGTATCCTTGTTAAGAGATGTATCCTTGTTAAGGAACGTATCCTTGTTGAGGAACGTATCCTTGTTGAGGAACGTATCCTTGTTAAAGGGTGTGTCCTTGACGAAGCATCCAATCGACACTAGCGGCTGGCACTCAAACTTGCCCTTGAGTTTTCACACAGCTCGGATTAAATACTGCATTATCCACGTTCTCGTGCGATCGCTCAATTTGCTCTCGCTTCGTTCGCGCGAGGATTTGATTAATGGGATTTCGTTGCGTTTCAAGTATCGAGGTATTTCAAAAATACAAAATCCAGAACGTATTTTTTTTAACATTAGAACGTCGACTTGCTTAAAATTCCGTATGACTAAGATTTTACAGGGTATAATATTAATAGAAATGTGTCTCCGGTTAACGTAACACTTTAATTACATAAAGTTCTTCTGATTAATATGTTTCAGATACGGATATTATTAGATATAGATATAGATGAAGGTTTATCATATCTACCGATCTATTATTGATTTAGGTAGCGTATCATAGATAAAAAATAAGTGAATAGATTACTGCCTCTCTCTCCTTCATGAATATTATAAATTTAGAATAAATTACGATTAGTAATAAATGGCAACTATTGTATCTCTTTAGGCCGAGGCAACGAGCACCCAGTAAGCAAATCCTATCGCGCGATCGCGATATTACCGTCAAATTTTACCTCGTTCGCGTGTTCCGCCCGCGATTCCCTCTTCGCCGGCACGGCGGGCGCTTCTCTCTTCACCTGGCACACGATCTGCGGCGCCTCCTTCTTCTGCGCAGGAGGTAGTCTCTGTCGCGTCTCCGCCTTCGATCTCGACCGCTCGATCTCGAGCTTCCGCACCGCGATCGCGGTCTTGCTGATCGGGGTCGGTATCTCGTATTCAACGTTCCGGTCCTTGCAACCGTAGACGCCGATCGTGATCTTCGGCGCCTGATGCGACTCCACCACTATCCCGTCCGGAAAGCTCTTGCATCGCGGATTCCCGCTCTGCCGGGTCTTGTCGATCAGCCGTCGCCGCTCCACCGGGTTCAGGTTCAGCTGCTCGATTATCGCCCGTATGTTGGATGAGATGTTGGACTCGCGATGTGACACCACCATGGTGGCGGCGGTGGCGTGCAGGCGCGTAACCGGATCGCGGTGCAGGTCCTCTTCACGTGGTCGCACCTGACAGGCCCGTCCTGTGATTCATACGCAGCTTCCGGCTGCGGAAGCACGCGCGTTTTCGTTAAGAAAAAAAAACAGGAAACGTCGCGACGGTTTTCCTATCGCCCGTAAATCTACGCCGGCCACACTTGAGCGTCAATTAAAAATTCTCTCATTTTGCCACGACGATTTCTTTCTGCATTTATTTATGTCAAGCTCATACTTCAAACTTTTCAATTCATAACAATTAATTTTTTTCATCGAGTACGATGAAAATTCTCCACGGGATTGAATCGCGATTGATTCAGCTAGTCACCCATTCGTGTCTAAAAGTTATATCTTTCACGATGTATGTTACGACATTTTCTCGATTATCGTAAATTTATGCCGACTAATTTCATATACCTTTCATTATAACTTATAATTTCATCTCAATTAATTGTCCAATCGCGATTGAATTCTTTACGCGTGTTAAAGGTGAATGACGTTTTCTTAATTATCGCAAGAGTATTAGACGCGCTTCTTAAAACACGAGTTCTCGTTTTTCGATTAAGATTTCGCTGGATGGAGTTTCCCTACGCGATCATATCACGTCTAATTCGACTGATTCTACATTCGAGCAACGACGCAGGACTTTCCATCTGCTTCATCTCGAGAAGAATCCAACGGGGTCACCTCTCCGTCGTGCAGCGCTTCCTAATTCCCACGGACTCGCGCCGAATTCGCGCGCGGCGAATATACGACTTCATTCGTCATCTCGATTAACTTTCCGCACGGACGCGTAAGAATCCAATTTTCCACGCGTGTCTTCGGAGGAATGCACAAACGTCACGCCGCCGCCGCGCCGGGGCTCCCTGATTGCCGGCAAATCTACGCGGCCGTAGATTTATTCGCTATCTCGATTAGCTTTTCCATTTGAGCGTCAATGGGATTTTCTACCGAGCGCGCGTAAACCTCCTCGGCTGAGCGAGATTCGAGCGTCCGACTTAATTGAGGGAACAATTAAGGCTGGCCTGCACTAACATCAGACCTCCGCGCTAACGAATATCTAACCGGCGTGCGCCGGCCGCGCGCGCGGACTACCTGGTTTTCGCAATTAGCGCGCGCACCCTTTCACAGAACTTCACACGGGCAGAGCTAACCGCACACGAGGCACAACATCAGCGTCCTCGTTTCCCCGACCTATAAGGATTCACTGCGATCCCGATCACCTTCCCACGCGATCGTCTCTCTCTTTCTCGCGCGCGCCACCGTTTCTTTCTCTCCCCGTCGCGGTCGTCTTCTTATCCTCGCGAGCGTAAGCCAAATCGTACATCGATCTCCGCGGAATCGCTCACTATTCGCGTCGCGAGCTGATCTCGAAAATTTTATAAATAACTCTTTCTCTCTTTTTTTTTATCATCCTTCGCGTTAACTTGTCGACTCCGTGAAACGCTAAAGAACGCCGCTAATTAACTTCGAGACGCGCTTTCCAATCCCGTAATCGATTAAGCGGAGTCGATCGATTCCGGCTTCTTCAAATACGTCACGGCTCTTTCTTCTTTTTTTACTTCTTCTTCTTCTTCTTCGTCTAAGGGCAAATCCCTCGCGCGCGCGTGGCATTTTCGATTTTGCAAGCGAAAGCGAGCGCCGTGAGAAAAACTCGAATTTCGATTTCTTCATTCCTCGCGCCAGTCGAGAGACCTCGTACCAGGAGATAGACGGCGCGCCGTTTCGGATCGGGGGATCGGCCCACGTAAATCGCCCACGTTATTTGCACAACACCATCGTGATTCCTCTCTC